TACCGTTAAATTTTCTTTCTAGGAAAAAAAAAATTTTTCTTTCTAGGGAGTGCTGGGAAGGGGCAGGTTGCATCACGGTTGAGAGCTGGGTTCCCCCAAACAGCCTTTTCCAACACTTGCTAACCAAGTTGCTCCGAGCAAGTCACTAATCTCTCCAGGCCTGTTTCCTAATTTATAAAATGGGGATGATAATACATATAGCACCTACATTACAGGGTGATTTTGGGATCTCATGTGGTTCGTACATAAATTCTAGAACAGTGCTTGTCACATACCAAGTGTGTCGTAAGTTTACTCGAGTGTTATTTCCTTCCTGGTTAAGATAATACATATTCTCAGGTATTATAGATTTAGCCATGCCTAAAGAGGAATCTTAATGCCAACGTAAATAAATAAAATCTTTAAAAAAAAGGGGGGGGGCAGCCTGGGTGGCTCAGCGGTTTAGCGCTGCCTTCAGCCCAGGGCCTGATACTGGAGACCCAGGATCGAGTCCCATGTCGGGCTCCCTGCGTGGAGCCTGCTTCTCCCTCTGCCTGGTCTCTGCCTCCTCTCTCTCTCTCTCTCTGTCTCTCATGAATAAAAAAATAAAATCTTAAAAAAAATTAATGCCAATGAATCATAGAAAAACTATGTCAATGGCTCTTGAACTTCACTGTGCATCGATTCACTGTGATAATTTGTTTAAAATCAAACACCCGAGGCTCTGCTTCTTCTACATTCATTATATGTGGAGTAGAAACCAAGAACATATGTGCTTTTATAAGGAGTTCTGCTAAAGATTTTTGATGCAGGTAGCTCACAGACAGTATTGAGAAGTGGTTGACTTATGTTTAAAGCTCTGGATTGTGTCCCTCTAAAATTCATGTGATGGAATCCTAACCCCCTAGGACTTCAGAATGTGACTGTATTTGGAGATAAGGCCTTTAAAGAGGTAATGAAGTCAAAATGAGGCAGTTAGGGTGGGCCCTAATCCGATATGACCAGTGTCCTTCCAGAACACAGATGACCAGACAGGGGGATGAGCATGGCAGGATACAGCAAAAAAGGGCAGCCATCTGCAAGCCAATTAGAGAATCCTCAGAAAAAAAGCTGCTGACACCTTGACCTGGGACTTCTAGCCTCCAGAATCATCAGAAAATAAATTTCTATTATTTAAGTCACGTGGTCTGGTATTTTGTCATAGAAGCTCTAGTAAATTAATACAATAAATAATATTTTGAAATGGATATAATAGCTGATACGGTGACTTGGTAATTAATGCTCCTAAAGTGTTTCTTACTAAAGACAAAGGAATTAGCCATATTAAAAGAGCCAATTGTTTTCACTCTTTGTTCTAGATTATTAAGTAGCTGAAACTGCCTAACAAGAAGGCATATACTATAAAGATGGTCTTCGTATAAGTGAAGCTCTCTATTACCAGACCACCACTTCCCTGGGTTTTATAACCTACTTATAACCCAAGGAGAAGATATCATATTTTTAGAATACATATTTTCTTCATTTTACCTAAAATATTCATTTTATTCATTCGTATCTATCTATCCCCCATTCATCTAGCCATTCATTCATCCATCTGTCCATCCATTTAATCAATATTTATTGAATAACATGTGCTCGAAGCCATTTTAGATACTGGAAAACTACTTATTTGTGGGAAGAAATAAGCCCCCCCAAAGGTTCTATTTCCCCCCCCCCAAAGGTTCTAAATGAAAACTCTAAAGTTTCATTTAAACCAACTCAAGTGCCCTTGGCTTGCATTCAAGTACAGAAATAAATGGATGGCCCAGGAGGATTCCAGTGAATTGGTATCTAAAAGGAGAAACTACAACTTTGTTCTAGAGAATTTTAGGCAGAGTGGTCCAGCTTTGCCAAATCTTGCGATATTTTAGGGGAACCCATGAATCTGGTGCTTATGTGAATTTTCCATTTTTAAAGCTGGTAAAATAATCTGGATTTTTCTCAAATGTTATGTGAGCCAAACCAAACACATTACTATTTAGACACCTAGACACCCCTAGGAGCCACCGGGTTGCGGCCCTCTGCTTAGACTCCGAGGACACAGTGTTATAGGTGTTAGAGTTCTTCCATAATGTCTTCATTATTTGATTTGTTACAAATTCACAACTAAATAATCTGGCTTTCAATTTATGGTTATCGCATCAACCAGCTTCATGACTAAAGAAACCTGAGAACTGCCCAATGTCTCTGGGACTATGGAAGCATGGTGTCTGCGGGGCAGGGCAGGGTCTTCACCCAGGAAAGAAATGGGAAAGCTCTGTCCCCACCTTCATCATGACCTTCCCTCCCCTCTGCACAGACCACCAGGGCAGGGACCGGGTTTTGTTCAGCGTCCTCATGAGCACACTAGTCACCACTTGGCATACTTCCCTGCAGTACCCACGCTTGATGAATGTTTGCTGAATCCACATATGTTTTTTAAATTCTGATTTAAAATCTGGGGGGAACACTGATTGTCAGTAAAACAGTTCCCATTTAGTTATAGTTTTTTTTTCTTTTTATCTTTAAGGTCAAGTCTATATGACAATAAACTAATTGTTTAGGACAACTTATCAGGAAAAACAATCAGACAAATCACACTCAGAATGATACAGAGATAATCTAAGCAACTGTTGTATCTTTAGCCAAATCATGTCTTGCTCTCATTCTCTTTTATTCTAGACTGATCAGACCGGCAAAATGGAGTAAGGAGAGCTCAACACATTTTGAATAACTCTTTTTTGTTTGAAGTTATATATATCCCAGACTTAATAGTCTACTACTAGCTGCTCCTACTTCACTAAGAATAAAACATGCTTCGCAGAGTTCATTTCTGCAGCTTAGCAATTTAGAGAAATCCTAGTACTTTCTCTCCACTAAATAAAAAAAATTCACATATGTCCTTAAAATGTAGAAAGCGCTGATGACAAAAAGCGAGTAACAACCAAACCAACCAACCAACCAACCAAAAAAAAAAAAATCTTCCCCAAAACATTTAAAAAATATCTTCATTAAAAACATCTTTATTGGGATCCCTGGGTGGCACAGCGGTTTGGCGCCTGCCTTTGGCCCAGGGCGCAATCCTGGAGACCCGGGATCGAATCCCACGTCGGGCTCCCGGTGCATGGAGCCTGCTTCTCCCTCTGCCTGTGTCTCTGCCTCTCTTTCTCTCTCTCTCTGTGACTATCATAAATAAATAAAAATTAAAAAAAAATCTTTATTTAAATAAAATTATTTTTAAATGTAGAGAATCCTAAGCATTATACTATCATATAACATTCTATAACCGTCACCTGCAAATTTCATTCTTCACATTTATCACAGACCTCATAGAATTTGTGGTGAAAAGTATATTTGTGATACTGTAAAAAGTAACTCCTTCAGAAAAGTGATGAAAACTTGAATGCTGATGAAGCCTTTTTTTTTAACTCAACATAGTCAATAAAATGCAAATATTTCTTACATTTCACAAATGTCTCCGGACTTGGCACACCTACATGCATGATTAAACTTGGAGTGCGATCCGACTAGTGACACCCACGGTGAGTCCTTTTCCTATTTTTAAACCTGGTTCTGCTCCATTCAACAGACATCTTAACAAATGCAATGAACACATCTGGAAGTTCTATGTCATAAATTTCACAGTAGCGGCAATCTGAGTGTTCACAAAACTATCCTCACACACCAACGGACCAACGAGTTTATGCCTAAAAACCTAACTACTTGAACTTATGTAAAATGTTCTAATTATGTGGTTGATTTCAGTCTCTCTCTGGTTCTGTATGAAACATAACCAACTTCTTCACCAGTAGTATTTCTTTTCAATTTAAGTTCCTGCAAATCTCTGAAATGATCTCAAAGTTTCATCTGAAGCAAGCCTTCAGTAATCAGGCTTTCTTAATTTTTCTCCGAAAAAATAAGGGAATTGATATTTGATTGACTTATTACATGAACCCGGCTGCATTTCCTGACTCTGCTCTAACTGTCCTGAGAACTGAAAGGTCTCACATCTCTTTAAAATACTATGGCTAAGGAACCAATCTCTGTTCAGGTCGAACGTGAAATTGTAAGAAGGACAACACATTTCTCAAATGTGCCTTCCAGAATTTTTCTTTTAGGCTTTCTGAATAGAAGTAAAAAGTTCACCATTGTGACAAGTAAAGATAAGGTTAAAAGGAAAAGTAATGAAGTCATAAAACATCAAAGTCGTTGGAGAATTTAGAGCACATCTAGTGGGGAGCTGATAGGAATAGCGAGGTGAGAGCATGACAGTCCTCTACCTAAGTGGTTGGCACTTGGTATGAACGTGGCCAAGTCTGACACTCTTATTTTACTTTACAGACAAGAAAACTGAGGCAGGGAAGAGAAACTCTTCCTATATACACCTGGAAGGGTTTACCAGAACCCTAAGGAAAATAAGTGACTTGAGATTCCTTTGGTTAAAGGCCCTTCTCTGATATTAGGCTGTTTTGATTATTCAAGTCATACAGATGAATTTTCATGCCCTCATTTGAAGGGACTTTTCAAATTCCCCCCTGTGAATGGCTCTATTCTATTCCTGAAAGTTTTATGTCCTGGTTCCAAAAATAAAGCTAAGTTGCCAAAGGCCTATCCCTCATCATTGCACTTCCATTGTTTATTCTAAAAACATTTACTTAAAATTATCCCGGGGCTTGACAATTTAATGTGATGGAAGCTCAGACCACATCGCTTTGACAAATTTAATAAACTCCCTGCACAACCCACAGCTCCTGTCTGCTGCACCCCCCCCCCCAACCCTCCTTCAAAGAGCCGGTCCGCTGTCTTCAGCACTAAGGAGATCTCTAACTGTCAACCAAGCTGCTTCTGGCCAGATGTGAGGAAACTAGGCATCTTGGTCAATATTCATCCTCACGGGCGTCTTTACCTTTAGGTCATGTTTGCCTGGACCTCAGGTGAACCCCCCCCCCCCCCCCGGCCTGCAAAGTGCAAAGTGGCCGCCCGCTGCACCTGCTGCCCTTTACCTGTTTGCAAGAGCACAGTGGTCTCTTCTCCATCCAGAGACACAATCCTAAAGTGGTAGAGGGTTCCCGCCTGCAGGTCCTCGGGGTGGCAGCCGTAGGTGGCGTTGTCCATCCGCGTGGGGTGGCACCAGGCCACCCCGGCCGTGTCGCTGCCGTAGGCGAGGCTGAAGTTGCAGGGGGACCCCGAGGTTCTCCACCGCAGGGACGCGGAGTGGCTGGCCGCCGCCGACTCGGTCACGGTGACGTTGCATCTCACGGGCTGCCCGGGGCCGGCCTGCAAACCAAGCAGAGCGGCTGCAGCCAGGGCGCCGCGGGCCGCCCCCGGGTCCCCGCCGGTCCCCGCGCGCGCCGTCGGCCTTGCCGGCAGCCCGAGGGGAGCCGCTCCGGGGAGAGGGGGCGGGGCCGGGGTGGGGGTGGCGGGTCCCCGCGCGCGCCGTCGGCCTCGCCCGCAGCCCGAGGGGAGCCCCGGGGTCGGGGGTGGGGAGAGCCCCGCGGGGAGCCGGCGACCACCTGCTCCGGGGTGGGGGGTGGGGGTGGGGGTGGGGGTGGGTGTCCGCTGTGGGGTCCCCGCGCGCGCCGTCGGCCTCACCCCGCAGCCCGAGGGGAGCCCCGCGGGGAGCCGGCGACCACCGGCTCCGGGATGGGGGGGGCCCGCGGGGAGCTGGCGGCCACTGCTCCGGGGGCGGGGTCGCGGGGGGGTGTCCGCCGCCGGGTCCCTCACCCCGCAGCCCAGGGGAGCCCCGCGGGGAGCCGGCGGCCACTGCCCCGGGGGCGGGGTGGGGGGTGGGGGGGTGGGTGTCCGCCCCCGGGGACCCCGCGCGCGCCGTCGGCCTCACCCCGCAGCCCGAGGGAAGCCCCGCGGGGAGCCGGCGGCCACTGCCCCGGGGTCGGGGTCGGGCCGGGAGCGACGGGGGCCCCAGGACGAGCCGTGGGTCCGGGCGGGCCCCGGGGGCGTCCTCGGGGGCCTCACCTGCAGCAGGCTCAGCGCGGCGCACAGGGCCAGCCCGGCCCCCCGGCCCAGCATCGCGGCGCGGGCGCACCTGTTGCGCTGGGCGCGCTGCCCCCGGGCCGGCCTCGCGCGGGGCCCCTGCGGCGGCGGCTGCTCGGGGCCCGGGCGGCGGGGCGGGGCGGGGCGGGGCGGGGGGCGCAGCCCTTCCCACGCTGCCGGGCTGACCCGCGCCGCCCGCCCGGCCCCGGCCGCCACTTCCGCAATCAAAAGGCAATTTCCTCGTCTCCCGGCGGAGGAACAATGCGCCGGCGAGGGGGGGAGCCCCCAGGAGCCCCCGCCCCCCGCGCGCCCCTCCGCCCCGCGACTTTCACTTTCCCCACCCGGTGGTCCCGCCCTCCCCCCAGGCGGTGGCCGCGGTGGCTCCCCGCCCCCTCCACTGCGCCCCCGCCCCCCCCCAGCGCCCCTCCAACTTCCTATCTTCCTCCGCCGCTTTCCCGGGGCCTCCGACTGGACCGCCGCACAGCTCCCTTCCCGGAGGCCTTCAGTAGGATGCGGCCGCCCCTCTCGCCTCACCGCGCCCCTGCCCGCGCCCCCGGGCACCCCTGCACCCCGACACCAGCAGCAGACGCAGCCCCCCAGCGGATCCTGTCCCCTGTCGGCCTGACCCTTCTGTCTCCCGGGAGCTCACTCCCTTTCCTCCGGGATGGGACCCAGGTCGCTGCACCCCCTGAATCTCACGCACAAGGTGCTGACCAAGAACAAGTCCTCACCGCCCGTCGTTGGCCGCACAGACCAAACGGCAAAGCGGGTCCATCCAGTGGTGAAAACCATTGCGTCCGTAATTGCCCAAGCGACGGAAGGAGGCGAGAAATCTCTCCTTTGAGGAAAATACTACTGATGGCCCAGCTCCCACACCTAGTACCGAAATTGGAATTTACCGTGTTCAGCACTAACGACGCTTTTTAGCGACCAACTTGGTACCTGAATGATCATGTATCTGAAAATGGACCTTGAAAGAGTCCCCAACAACCAAAGAGCCAGACGGTGTCATTGCACACAGGTGATTACGGCAAGTGCTGCCACGGCCTGTATAATGCTTGACCGCTTTTCCTGGGTGCCATCCCCGACAACTGCCAGAGGAGATGAGGTTTTTCACATTTTAATTTTTCGAAACTGAATACTCCGGAGCCAAGTCAATAGGAAGAAGGCCATACTCCCCTCTTTTTTTTTTTTTTTCAGATAGGCAGATCAGACATAAAGCTATACTATCGACTTCTGTACCAACTGTATCTGATTTGAGGAAAAACTGAAAAAAGGTGAAAATTGTTCAGGAACAATTTTCCTCTCACGATTCTTTTAGAAAATATGTTTTAAAGAAATATTTTAATGAAAACAATGAAATTTCTACCTCTCCAGAGATTCTACGGGCTTTCAATCTGCAGCCAGACCAGAGATCTCAAGTCTCCTTTTCAAGTCAGCAAACACTCAAAGGTCAAACCTGAACTGTGTGTATTTCTGGGAAAACAATTTTTCCTCTTTCCTTGCCCAGTGACCTGGCTTCCAAGAGAGCTTTTGTGGCCCCTCCGTATTTTGCCCCCAAGTTCAACGGCTTTTCACAGCCTGGCACACCTTTCTGCAGCATCAGAGACAGTCCCCACCTCCCTCTGTCACCTACGGGGGCAGCCTTCGGCCCTTACAGGGGTCTTTTTGCAGCTTTATTTCTTTTCAACATTACCTTTCTCTTTTCTTGCTGTATTCAGAAAGCAATGTGGTTTCCTTGCTGTCAAACTGGAATCATACCACTCGAAATACTTCCCAGAGCTATTTATGACCAATAAATAAGCTCACAGGTGTGAAAGCACCTATGTAAACTTTTGCATACTGTCCAGATGTCGGTGTGTATGGTAATAGCATGGATCCCGATCACATTTTTAAACGAATTTTAAAGATTCATCCACAAAAAAAAAAAAAAAAAAAAAGATTCATCCACCAAGTACGTTGCACTTTCCTAGCTTCTGCTGCCTATCTTTCGCTTTGTCTTATCCATTGAGATTTATAAAATTTTCTCATAAGTTGCCGCTCGGATATGAAATCTTCTCACCCAAATATACCAAATACTCTTCTGTCCTTTACCAAAATCTTCAGTAAGTCCTATCTCCTCCAAATTTTGCCAAGCATCATTTTTTTTTTGCCACAAGCTACTGTACCCTGTAAGTTAATCTAAAAATTATGTTTCATTTTCACTGTACTGTCTAACATTCTTCCTACAATCAATCCTTCCTTTGGTGCAGGCAAATGCATCAAGAAAGGCAAAATTTGAAGGACTAATCCAACAAGACAATAACAAAATATCCTTACTACACAGTTTAGAGGCTTCCAGACTCTATGTTATTAGCATAACATAGAGGTTGGGGTACGAGATGGAAAGCAACAATAATTTGTTATCATTCATTCGGATGTTCTCAGCACAATGTTCTCATCCGTGGACTAGTGATCTGCTAGTGATCTGCTACTGATCAGATCAGTAGATCAGTAGTGATCTGCTACTAATGCCCTTGGAAAGAGGAATTTGGAAAAGAAGGAATGACTTCTTTAAATAGGATTATTTTATTTTTGACCTAGCAAAGAGAGACACATACTTAGTAAAATCATGTGCTGTCATTTGTTTTACCATCAATATACATGAAGACTGATAGCAACGCATAAAGGAAAGGACCAGGAGACATCGGGGACATTTCTTTTCCAAAGTTATGTAACCCCTAATTCTTTTTCCTGGAGAATCTTAAGGCTTACAGGAGAGTCCCTCCTGCCCCCAAATCAGTGGATCTGAAGTTAGGATTAATTAGGATTCACATATTATGCGACAAGGAGGAAAAGTTTAAACTCAGGCTTTTACTGATTACATTTTTCTTTTCTAAAAACCAATTCTATCAATACAAGGAATTAGAACCGTAATGGATTCAAAGCAGTTTGGGCCTGGGGAAAGTTGCCAGATATTGTTTTCTTCTATGAGGAGTTTATTTGAAACTACTGTACAAAGTATAAATAAATTGATTCATTCTTCTCCTTTGTTCTCATCTTTGTTTGGAATTCCTCAACTTCTTTTGAACCGATTTATCCTGCATCCTGACACTGCATATGCTTTGGAGGTTACTGCATTCCAGGAATTTGGGACCTCCTCTCTTTGCCACTAGGAAACCTGTCCAGACTGCACAGGAAGGGGTGGGGCTACTTCTGATTAGAGGAGAGTGGACAAACAGCTGCCTTTTAAACAAACTGTCCTAGCAATTAATTGTGATAATTTACATATTCATAAATTACGCATTCATGGATGAAAGCACGGCTCTTATCAGCTCGTGAACACAGATGTTGACTGAGACAACCGGTCATCTGGGGTCCGGGGGCCACACGTTGAGAGCTGCTCCTGCAGATCAGGGTTTGAGCTGGGTGTGGGAAAGGTCGGGGGGCGGGGCGGGGGGAGTGGGGAGGGCAGAGTAGATTGCTGAAGTTATTGTTAATTCAAACTCCTCACCCGTGACCTAAAAAGCTGTTGGTGACCTGGCCTCTCTTCTGCTGGTCTCTTATGCTCCGGTGGCCTGGGTCTGATGATCATTTTTACTCATTCATTCAGCAAATATTGACTGAGCACTTACAGTGGGCCTCGAATTTGGAAACACCCCAACACAGGGGCTGACATTTCCTGCCCCCCTGACATTTCTACCTGCCGGTCCGTCTGCTTGGAGCACTCCTCCCCAGGGTCTCTGCTCAATCTCTAGGTCTCAGCTTAAATACACCCCTTATGGGGCCAGGGCCCTTCTGACCCCTCAAGGAAAAAGCCTCCTTTAATCATTATTCATCTCAGCAATCCATTTGTTTAATTCCGAGCATTAATGACACCTGGTAATAATATAATGACCTGTATGCTCGCGATGCCTGCCTTTCCCGAGCATATGGAGAATTCCCTTAGGGTGGTCTTGGGCTTCTTGCATAGAGCTTGGCTTGAAAGAGTTTCAACAAATATTTGTTGAGAGAATGGATGAATGAAGCAAGGGAGGGAGGTGGGAAGGAATCTTTGTATCTGCTCAGTAAATACTGTTATGTGAATAAATACTCCCATCGAGTCCTTGTAAACATGTTCTTGCTGGATGCCCCCATATCATCTTGGAAGGGAAGGAGGAAAAGAGAAGCAGGAACAAAGGAGAAAGGGCCAAGGCATCAAAGAAGACTGATTTTGGAGAAAACGAGGTGGGAAAAGATATGAGAGGGAGGGAAGATAAAAGGAGGAAAAGAGAGGGGGGAGGAAGTCCTATTCTTTGGCATGCTGG